ACATATATACAATGCAAGAACACACTGTAGAAGAAGGCATAGCGAACATGAAGATGGAGAGAGAGAAGTGGCTGACAGAATAGCTGACTTTTGAAAAAGACATCATCACATGTGTCTGTAGCTGTCCCTTGTTAACCTCATTTAATAGAGAAGGAAATGAAATTCAAATGTTGAGGCCACAAAGTAATTGGGTGGCAGACCTGTGATAAGAATGGAATAGAGCTTCTAAATTGCAAGTGAATTGTTTTTTCATGAAACCAAATTCAAAAGATAATCAAATGTTTCTGATTTGTATTAATAACTTTTTAAAAAGCATTTGTGAAATACATCAGGATTTCAGATAGCTACCAGCACTAGATCAAGTCTACCATCAACCATGGACCTAGAGGCTCTCCATTGCCACCAGAAGATTTGTAGGCAAGCCTATACAATCTTAATATCAATTATATCAATGTTTCTGAACAGCGAACACACATACTAATTGAGAAGGGACTGGAATGATGTATATTCATCATCATTAGCTAAGATTAGCTCAACTTGTTACCTCATTTACATATTTATGAATAGGTCCTATGAGCTAGTTTTAGTAATTTTCTAATACTTGATTTAACTCTCCTAGCCCACCTAGATAACTCACAACAGACCACAGCACTCTATAAATGGGCACTTTCACTGAAAGATAGATGATTGATTGACTGGTAGACAGATGATAAACAAGTTGATTTAGTTATCTGTATTTGACAAACACAGAAAAGGGTTAATGTTGGAGAAGAAGAAATGCCTAGCTACTTACTATCTAATGAGATAGATGTTAGATGTGGTTTATGGAGAACACCAATGTCCTACAACCGAGGTGCAAGGTCCACCACATGCTCACATATTTGAACACTTGTGTTCACATATTTGAACAGTGCTAGTGGCACTGTTTTGAGAGGTTGTGGAATTCTTTGACCATGGGGCTCCATGAGTTCTTTTCTAATGTAAAATTTACATATAGTGAAATACACAAAGCTGAGTATCATGTATGTTGACTTCTATTTATTCCACATGCCATTTACATTCAGAACATTTCTGTCATCCTACACCATCCCCCTATGTCCTTGTCCAGTACATCCAGGCACCAACACCATTCCTGAGGCAACCATTCCTTGGCTTCTTTTCCCATCCATTGATTAGTTCTGCCTATTTGGCAGCTTCATATCAAAGGACATTCGATGGGAACTCAGTAAGTTGTTTATAATCTCTCAGTGTTGTTGCTGCCTAAGTTTAATTTCGCTTCTTTTTATTAATAGCATACTGTTATATAAATGTAATAATCCACTCTCCTGTGACTGACTGTGGTTTTGCTATCAGGTATATATGCCATTAGCTGCTATGAACATTACTGTACACCTTTGTCTGTTTGTTTCTGACTGAAGGGTTAATGCTGAGGAAGGAGCTGCTAGAATTTCAGTGCTTGCTGTACAAGACACTTCCAGGCCTTTACCCAACATGGCTGCTCCAGGCTACACTCCCACCAAGAGCATATTCTCCACATCCTCATCAAATCTTTTGGGTTCAGCCATTTGGTGGGAAAGTCACGAAAGGCACTAGTCGACATGGTTGGTATTTGTCAGGACTCATTTCTCCATCATTGTTCTCACTAACTCCTACCTATCAAAATCAGCCTTGCCCCACTGAGTCCTCCTCCCTGAGGATTTTTATCTCAGAAGATAGGGGGGGATTACATCTTGGACACTTATTTCCTGTAAGGTTCTTATGGAGGAAAATAACTTTATCTACTCCCTTTCTAAATCTTCTTTCTTAGTAAGAAAAATTTAATATGATTCCACAACAATCATCTGATTGGATCAAATAGACAAATTAAAAATTATCTTTTGTTTTGTGATATATCACGAGGCAAAAGACTCTCACTTCCAAATCCCATCCTGTGTAACTGTTTCAAGCAAACTGTAAAACCATAACAAAATTCAGAGAAAAAAAGTTTCCAATAGTCAAGCTCAACCAATTCTTCATACCTGCCTAAGTGCCACTGTTCCCATAATAATTACTGCCTACAAGGCAGGGCTGATGTTCCTGTTCCACAGACAAGGTAAAAGACACCTGGGCTGAGAGTCTCAAGTACAGCATTTTGTAACCCTGGCTCATGCTCATCTCCTAGGCATCTCTCTCCCCTGGAAGGATGGTGCTCGGATATCCACTAATGCAGGCTGTAGAGCACTGGCAGCCCTCCCCCAGCCATGGCCAGCACCCAAAATCCTTCCTCCCCTATTCCTCACAGCTCATCATCAACTGGTTCCCATCCTCTTTCCTTCTCCCTTTCTTCCAACTCTGCTCAGTTACTTCATAACGTCTAAAATATATCCTAAACTTGCCTGATCGCTGTCAAAATAGTTCTGGTACCATAATGAGGAACTAACGTGGTCAAGATCTCAGACCCTTGAAAGTACCAAGAGGTCTCTTTCAGAAGCTCCACAAAAGAACTTCCCACTTTCTCATCCCCTCCTAGTTAAACTGGTTTTCCCTCAACTACCAGCATTCTGTACAGCAAAAAACATTTGTCTCTACTACTTGGCTTTGGTTTTAATCAACAGCCTCATAGCAGCATTGCTTTCTAAGGCTTTGGTTGCAGAGATGCTGCACCAGTCATGGTAAAGGTTAAGTTGTGACACTATGTCTATAACAAATCATATACTCGTGTACACTGACTTAAACTTCTGGAATTAAATTGTCTTCTAAGTTAAGGCTTGCCTAATCCTCCTATACAGTTTTAAAGAGTCATTGCAAGAATTTCTTCTTTGGCACATTTTATTTTATAGAAAAATCTATGAAGCTACAATAGCTTCCCCCACCCTGCCCCACAATATCACAACTCTAGGTGTACTACCCTACCAACAGAGCATGTGTTATTTATCCCTCCCCCATTTTACAGATGAGGAAGCTGAAATTCAGAATAGCTTAGTAACTCACAGCTAGGAAGCAAGAGAACCCACATTCACACTGTGATTTATCCATTTCTGGATGGCTCTTTCTCAACCACTGTGCTGTACTTCTCCCCTGAATTGGCTGCTACCACCCAGAATGGAAAGGAGGGCTTCCTAACTTGGACCCCAACAGGCCACATCTGTGATCCCCATCTCCATCATTCTCTGCATCTTCATCATGTTCCCAAACTATTGTTGAGACCTTACAAATCTCAGGAAGAGAGGAAAAGAGATTGGCAAAAATTTCAAAGGAGAAGTAATAAATCTGGATCTTACTAAATGAAGAGATGTTGTGAAAAGCAAAGCTGTATCTATCAAAAAGACACTAGCTGTGTAATTAATAATCAGTGTCTATTGTACATCATTCTAAATAGCTCTCACCTAGCTGAATGGTAACATGGATTATGGTTATGTACCTGGTCTAATTTGTTACCCACAGTGCTGGGGCTTTCCTTACTAACTTGCTCTTATGGTTTTAAATAGTTTTTTAATGCATGTATGTGGAGGGAGTGTGCTTGTTTCTACATGTGCAAGTACACTTGTATGTGCATACATATGTAAAGGCCAGAGGACAACCTTTTGCGGCAGGGTCTCTCATTGGCCCAGGACTCACCAATTAAGCTAGAGCTGTTGGTCAGCAAGCCCCATGGATGCTCCCATTGCTACCTTCCTAGTGCTGGGATTACTAGTGCACCACCATGCCCAGTTTTTAACATTGGAGTTGAACTAAGGTGTTCATCCTCATGAGGCAAACACTTTACCAACTGAGCTACTTCCCAGTCCCTTTTAATAGTTTAAGTAGCACGATACCCACATACAACAGATTTTACTGGTAGTCTATAGTATTGTAAAGGACAGAAAAACCCACCACAACAAATGAAAATCTCAGATTCAGTTGTAGGAACTGGCCCTTATCTATTCTCTCATTTGGCCTGGGCTCATTGGCCTTTAGCATTTGTACTGATTTCATTCTTTTTTTAATGAAGCTTCAGTTTCTGTGGAAAGCAGATTCCTTTCCTTGTACTCTTCTTCAGATTTACCTTCCTGTTCATGAAAGGCTACAAAGTCAACAGTATGTTTCCGATTCTCTTGCAGCTAGAATTCCAGATAAAAATTATGTTCCTGGTTAGATGTATTTATGTGTGTTACAAAAGGCAGAAGTGAGATAGATACAATCTACCTGAATTTTCTCAAGCTTCTGTTTATAGACAATCATGAATAAAAAGTGACCAAAATTTAATTATTATTTCAATGTTCAATATACAATTTCTTCAGTTGAAGGGCTGTTGAGGCAACTAGTGGCAGCCAGTTTTTGACACTACCTTCCTGAACCCTAGACTACAACCAGGGGGATCAGCAGTGTCTTCACACTTCCTTTCTTGTAGTCACCTCAGAAATGGTCATTTTTCCTGGTAAGACAGTCCTGCATTGCCCAGGTCTATCCCTTTCAACATCACCATGATTACTAATACTTCTTGTATGTTCAGTATGAATTAGACACTATGCTAAACCCTTTACATAAATTTATTTATTTAAACCCCACAACACCCCTATCAGGGAGGTATTAACATCCTTTTTTTCCAAATAGTGTTCAGAAAAATAAGATTAATTTCACAAGATCAGAACAAATTTAGTTGGTAAGTAATGGAGCTAGAATTTAATCTCAGATATGCCTCCCTCCAAAGTCAGAGTTCTTCTGCCTTTTACAGTTGAGGGCCTGCAATATATTGGCAAATTTTAATTGTTCATGCATGTCATGTTTCTGAAAAACTTCAATCTTTTTCCTTAAACAACACAAATACACTGATCAGTCATGTCAGAATACATGTAGATATTACAGAGCCTTTATTTGAACTAAATAGAAACCACGAAGAAAAGTAGAGTACCACTTTGTGAAAACTTAAGTCATACCAAGTCTATCTTTTACTATAAAAATTAAGGAATTATGATGAAATCAGCACAACCCTTTACTTGCCTCTAGAGAGACCAGAGCTGGAGCAACAGATGCACACTTACCAGGAGCACGGTTAGCAGCCAGGTTACGGAAATGGCTGCCTTTGATCATTTCCACAGATAATCGCCCTGTTGTGGCATTGTAGGACAGCCCCACCAATAGTTCTGGCACCCCTCCATGAGACAGCGACTGTGTGGATGAAGCACTATCACTGTGCGACACCACAGATGGGCTAAGCGGAGACTCTCCACTCTGGAGGGGAAGAACACAAAGAATCCATTGGCCAATGCCTCATTCCTCTCTTTGAGAGAAAGTCGATATTATGCTTGGTGAAATTGTGACCCAGTCTCGATGACTGCCAAGATTACTAACGGGCACTCAGTGTGAATTACAATGTGCCAAGGAATGCAGCATGGATGAGATGCCCGCATTATTAGCCGACATATTTGTTCCAAGAGCTGTATCCATTCAATATTTCCTCTCTAAAGACAAAATGGACAAAGATGTTATTACTAGTGTAAATCAAACCTTCTAAGATACATGGAGTGCTAATAATACATTTAATAGAGACCAAAATTCCCTCTTGTATAATTTGTTCCTGAATGTTTCTATGAAACCCATCCACTCCAGGCCTGAGTTTTGTTTCTGTTCTTTCCTGATGAATGTGGCCATACAGAAGGCAATTTGTCGCCAAGATAAGTGAATTGACTACTAGACATTGACCAGCACATAGAACATTTGACCTCTGGTTCTGCTTCTTAAGATCTTAAGATTGTAAGGAATATGCCAGATGCTAAATTTTGCCTCCTAAAAGAAATGAATTACATGGATGTGCACTTTCACCATTTAATAAAGAAACAGATACATGGATTATGAATCCCAGTGACCTGGCAGGCAGCAGGTGAGCCCGGGAAGGATATCATGCTTTTCATCATGTTTATTCATGCACACATTTCTAAGCCCCATCTTTATATACCAGGCAAAGGAGGGAGAGGAAAAAGTAGCTCAGAACACTGATTCTCACTGAGGAAAAGGGGTGAGCATGTGCCTGTCTGGAGCAGGCCAGCAGTCCTTCCAACATGCCACCTCCTCCACGCAACACAAGTGCATGGGACCTACCTTAAATCTTTCTTGTCAATATATGAAATTACCACATAAAAAACTTCTTATCAAGAACCCAATCAGCAAAAACAATAAAAGTAATCAAGTATTTTGCGCATCCAAGGGTATGTATCCTTTTCACCAGACCATGGGCATCTCTCTAAGAATCCAGATTTCATGGATCACAATTTGTAAGCTGTAGGGGTCCTTACAGGCTTTGATGTCTAGAAACTAAAAACACACCAATGAAACATCTACATCTTCAGTAATGAGGGTCTCCGCAGTCCTGTGCTTCTGCTGTGGTCCCTTGTTGCTACATGGCTTGCCTGCTCCCATCAAAGTCTGAATCTGTGTCTATTTCTCAGTCCCTAGACTAATATCTGGCACATAATCACATTCAACAATAGTTAATGAATAAAAGAATTTCCTCTTTCAAAGTTCCTTCACATTGGTTATTTCTCCCCATTCAGTCCATGCCCCAGCACCCAAGAGTATGGGTATAATCATACCTATTCCCATGCTTCATAGGACATCCTCCTCCACTAGACTATGGAATAATAGCTGCTTGGCTTGTTTCTGCACCTATGTGGACTCTGCAGCACTTGACAGTAAACATCTTTGAATGAACTGATTGGTCCAATAGCCCATAGCTGTTTGATCTTTTCACATAGTTTTGTGAAAGGAGATCGTTACATTATATGATAGATATCCTACAGCAGTAATGGGGCTTTCCATCTCATAGACATATAAGCTATAGTGTCTTTCCTTGAAACCCTGAGGCAGGAAGAGGAGAAAGATACACATAGGAGACCAGTCATAAAGATGAAAGATCTCGGGAAGTGGCAGGCATTTAGGGCTGCTGTTGTGGGCTGCTCCTGAGCTTTGCCTTAAAAGCACCGACACACACCTGAAATTCCAGTACTTGGGAGGCTGAGGCAAGAGGATCATGAGCTGGAGGTCATCCTAGGTTACATAATGAGTTTGAGGCTAGCCTGGGCTACACAGCAAACCTCTCACTCCAGAAAATAACACAAAAAGGACCATGTCTGAGAATTACCATCCTGCATACTAAGGATGGAAGGGATGGGACTGCTTATCCACTACCCAAAAGCCCAGCTACTTTTCCAGGTTTGTCGGGCCCTCTATATGCTTCTGTTGTCATTTCTTAAACTGGGCAGAAAGTAACATCCATCAGGTTATCAGGATGACAGGTATGAAAGGCCCACTGTACCGTGAAGTGCAAATCACGGCTTATAAGCTTGAGGAGAGCCAAATGGAAAATTAAATTAAAGTCTATGAATTCACAAGCTGAATGTACTAAATCAAGGGCTGACAATCGCAGGTCTTTGAACACACCGCATCATTAGCAGCACCATTTAATGTACTCACACTTATATTACTTCTTGGCTCCAGAATGAGAGTCACTTTCATTTCCCCTTCTGGGTGTAAGTGGCTGAGATGGAACAGTTTCTCCCCCATCATTCTCTCTCGGGTCATCTTACGTGCAGCATACAAGCGGAAGCGGACAGCACAGGCAGCCACATCCCTGGGCTCCAGTTTGACAAAGGTGACTTTCTCCTTGAAAACAGGGTTGGGCCCTCTCTGGATGTTTGTCCTTCCCCTCTGTTTCTTACTGGGAAGCAGCACTACATGAACTTGCCAGGAGTTGACGCCACTTCGGTCCTTATCTGGAAGGCCCTGTGCTCTCACAATGGTCACTGTGAGCTTCTGGGTCACAGCTTTATATTCAAAGACAACATCTAGGTCACCGCATTTTGAGATGGGCTCCAAGAGCCTTGGTGGCATCTGCAGATGGGTCCCATACTGCTCCTGTTATAGGCAGAGGAAAAGATGAGAAATGGAAATGATGCCACCTAATTACATGTGGACAAGTTGGTTTTAGGGGTTTTTTTGACTGCCAGGACATGACCTTCTGTATTAGGAAGGTCTGTTTACTGATCTCTCTCCATTAGACTGAATTCTTGATGGGCAGAGTGCCTGACATATGGTAAGCCTTTAAGATGTTTTTCAAATGGATGAAGCACTTATATTTCACAAAGTGTTTTTATACACACTGCCTCTCAAAAAGCATAATTGTCCACTATTGTTGAAACTAACTGAGATATGAAGATTAAAATTAAGTCAACCATGCAAATGCCCACAGGTAACTTTTTCCTGAGTCCTCAGGAGGAACTGCTAAACCTGGATCTGTTGTCTGCAGACCAGAACCTTCCTCCAGGTTAAAAAATAAAATCCAATAGAGTATCTCAGGCAGTTGATCTTTCCATGTGTTTTCAAACTTTCTGGGAGAAAAGGCTTATGGATGAACTTCTCTTTACATATGGGGATCTGGATCATTCAAAGATTCTCATTCAGTAAGTCTAGGGTGGGGGCTAAGGCTCTGCATTTCTAAGATGCTTATGAAGGATGTGGACCACAGATCACGCTGTGGAAAGCAAAGGTTAAGGAGATCATTCACAGTTACCAGTTAGCAACAAGAAACACTGGAGCCAGAACACCTGGATTAAAAGAACTACTACCGTTGGTTAGCTTTTCAAGTCCTGGCCCAACACACCAGCTTCTAGGTACTCTAGCTGAAACGTACACATTAGTATGTGCCTACTCGACAGAGTAGGGCTGTGACGTTTTAGGAAGAGACAAAATTCATGCTTTGAGACAGACTCTATATCCATTCCCACCACTGGTGTGGTGCTACCTCTTTCCAAATGTTTCTCTCTCTTTATAGAATGTCACCTTTTGACATCAATTTATTGTAGATACTCACATTTGATGCACTCATTGGGAAAACTGAGCTGGACAACATTTACTGTAATGACCACCACACCAAAAAATTATAAATAACATCAATATATGTTTTAACTTTCCCCTGAAGCCATGACTCTTGCCTATAACTAAATGGGTCTCAGAATGAACCCATCATCCTTTATGTAAATCAGTTCTTATATATGGAATGGAACACTAGATACTGCTAATTCACTGACCACTTCAAAATTATAATAAAATACCCCAGAATGCCTATTCATTAATGAAACTTTCCCATAGAGTCTGAAGGAAAACTACATGGTACTATGGAATCAATATTCTTAAGAATCCCATGTCTACCGTTTACAAGGTCTATACATTGACCAAATTACTTAATACTTTCTACATTTTTTTCCTTAATAGTAAAACAAGGGTGATGGCCAATGCATAGGCATGTTGTGAAAAATAGAAAACTTGACACATAATAGACTTCTAAAAAGTGCCCTTCCCTTTTAAGATTCAAATTAGCCTGCCAAGAAAATTCCACGTTCTTATAAAATAAGGGAAGCTTCTTCTATCCTTCTCTCCGCACATGCAATCATGCCTGAGTGTTTCTATTCAGAGGTACTTAGTTTCAAGTGATAAAAGTGGTTGCTATAGAGACTTCTGAATACAACTGACTAGTGTATATATAATATTAGAAGCAAGTCTCCAAGGAATTAGGCTAGCTCAAAAACCAAGGCAGAATCTTTTCTTAAGCTCCTTGTCTCCTCTTAAAACTCCCAATTATTTTATCCTGCTCTTGATCATCTACATTGCTTGTCTAGATGTGAATAACAATAGCTAACATCTTTTAGGCTGTTCTTCATGTCAGGTACCATATCAAGTTCTTTATGACTGTGACAGCCAGTTCTTACACACTTCAGACCTCCTTGACCTCCTCTTTCTCCATCTTCCCCTATATGAACAGCCTGTCTGGGCTGTAAGAGAGTGCAGCTGGCACCACCCAATGAATTCTTACCTTCTCATAAAACAGAGTTTTCAGCTCTCATCACTGGCTTGTTGATACCAAAGCTTAGAAAGCTGTAGCACTGGACTTCCCATAATTATGTACTATGATTAACACTCCATGTAATAAATTTTTCTCCCCTGGTAATGTGTCCTGAGAGCAGGTTATTGTTGCTTGGAGAATGTCCCAAGGGATAAAATAATTGATCACACTGGATGGTGGTCAACGCAATGGCACCCTCTCATTTGGGATTTTTCTGCTTCCTTCCCTCCCTTCCTCCCTCATCCTTCACTGAGAATGTACTCACCAGCAAAGGAGGAAACAAAAGTCTTTGCATTGGGCTCTGCTTTACTAGGGAACCCAACTGAGAAACATTGGGTTTTTTTTAGTATTTACATCAACCTAATGAGTTAGTATTCTAATATCTTTATTTCATGGGAAAGGAACCTAAAATTAAGGCATGCTAAATAACTAATAACCATCCCAAGGTCATATGAGCAGAATCAGCCAGGATTCTTACCCTAGGAGTCTGAATTCAGAGCCTGCCTTACCTAGTCCTGAATAGTTAAGTTCCTAAACCTTACATTAAGCTCTACAGTCTGTCTCTCATCCTGTTTCTGTGTCTATTAGGTATGTGAGATGAACAGGTAAGAAGGTAGAAATTGAAGAGAATACTGTAAATTTCATGCTCTTTCAGGCCCCTACTCTTCATATTTGTTAAGAGTTCCTAGTTTTATGGGCTACCTCAATACCAAGGTTAAAATAACCTAGTGGATGAGAGTCTCCCACACGTCTATCGGGCTATCTATTCAGATAGATGCTTACTCCACCTACAGGCTTCTGGGGAATCCTGGGCAGAGCTCTTCAGAGACCGCTCTGGAAACTCTGAACAAAGCACAGCTCTGGGCAACAGCTGGGCTCCAAATAGGCCAATCCCAGCTGTAGGTCATGAAAACTGGGCTTTGCAGCCTCTGCCTGGGTTAACTTGAGACAGATTTGCGAACGTTTGTATTTTCATAGCAATTAATTATTTCAATACATATTACCTAGCACCAGGCAACTAAAGGAGCTTCTCGTGTGGGTACTGCTAATACTGCTAATCCATTTGACCTTCCTGCAAGGTAAAACGCTCTTCCTTCTTATCCCCATTTGGCAGATTTTAATTAACTTCTCAAGACCAACCAATTAATCAGTGGAAAACAGAGATGAAAAGTGGGGCACCTGTCTCCCTGTGTGTTCGAAATTGCCAGCTACCCTCACATTGTGTTCCCTACCAAGCCCTGGGTCTGCAGGAGAAAGTCAATGGTCTTTGCCAGCTGAGAAGATCTGCACTGGAAAATCCATCAGCATAGCAGGTAGTCACACCACATGACTGGTTTCCTTCTGAGACAAAATAAATGATTCCTTGAGCTTTCATATCCTGATTTTTCCCCCCTTTAAAGTGGAAAAGCTTGCATCAAACTGTCAAAACCCACGTAAGTTTAAAGATTTTCTGTCAAACTGAAGAGGCTTTCTGTTTTAGTGAGATAGTGTTGATGTCATCTTGTGGCCAAAAGTAAACGGACCCACAGTACGGCCTTGATGCCAGATACACCGGGGAAGACAAGCTTCTTAATACAGCTAAGAGACAAATAAATCAGTGCCTAAGAGGCAAGCTGTGCCTGCAAAGCAGGCAGTTACGGGAACTGCCTCTGATCTGGATTTGAGGTTGTACTGTAGGAGCACCAAATTACAGTTTTTGTCTCAAAATAGATAGGAGGTTGAATGGTGCACACGGAGATGTCTGGGTATTTTTGGAGTCTGAGAACATTCAGTCCCCTCAACACAAGTTTTCTATTAAAACACCAGGAGGCAGAGAAATGGGAGGTTACGTGGAAAAGGCAAGCCCAAGCTTAATGGCACAATTATTGAGGAGATAGAGTTATCAACAGGCAGGTAAACAGTTCTGTTTTGTTTCTGCAGTAAGGGAGCCAAGAGGAATATTTTTAAATATTGTGTGGGATTTGATTTGGCTCTGAGCAGTGACACCACAGGGAATCAGACTTTTATTTTGTTTCTGTCTTTTTTTCTTTTTAACAAAACTGATAAAAGTTAATGGATTTGGGTACCTCTGTGGGAAGGACTGGCTTCAACAAGCCATAAACCCCATATCTGAGTTACCATTTCTGATTCTCAGCAGAAACGTCAATATACGGCTGCCAGTGTACACAGGTATGCATCCTTGTGTTCCTCTTCCACACCCCAGCTTGTCAACAGCAAGGTGTAGAGCATGGTTCTCTGGGTATGCTTTTGCATTTCTTTGAGCATTTAGCACTGTGACCTCATAAGAGATTCGCTCCACTTACTTTCTCATGTTATGGTAGCCAAGTCCATTCTCTCCCTCTATCTTCATATATTATATTAAGTCATACATACTTACATGAGTAACTCCATCAAAATTGGTTTCAAGTTAGATATTAAACCCAACTACTTGACACTCCTTCCCAATGTCAGGGAATCAGTACAGAAGGGATTTGGCCCATGAAGTGCAACCATAAATTTCTGTGAGCTAAAACAGTGTTTGTAAAGCCCTCTTCAAGGCACCAAGACTGTGGTAGGGGCCATCATCACCACCACAGGCCATCTCTGACATATTATAGACCAGCTTTAACTGAGAAAACAAATTCAGAGGTACCTTCTATTAGATGTTTATTGCAAAAGGCCACATCAGTGACCAGAGAGTCATTGCATCTAAACACCATCTCCCAGACTTTCACCTTGATTCAAAGTGAATATTACAAAACTCTCATTGTAATGAGTGTAGCTTCATTTGGAGGGACATTTTATAGCTAAATTCTGCAATAATTTTTATTTTAATAATCATAGCTCAAGATCTGGGGGAAAATAAAGTAGACTCCACTTTTCCATGAGAGAAAAAAACAAACAAACAGGCTCTCCAAAGAGCAAAACTTTGTACAAAAATGCTCCTGTTACCGTTCCTCTTCATCCCTCCCACCCCATTCTTCTTTCTCTTTCATTTTGAAAGAAATGTACACTTGAGAGAAATGCATTTATAATTCTTTTACTGCTAATCACAGAGGTTTTGGCCATCTAGACAAAAATTTCTTTCAAATAGAAGTTTTTAGACCAGGCAATGCTTCCTGAAGAAATCAGAAGGTGGAGAGTGGGAGAGGAAGAGACAAATGATTGCATGGTACTAAAACAAAGACTAGAAAACAAACAACTTGCCTCTGGACTCCACACAGAGGAGCTGTCAGTGGCATAGGAATCTTCAAAGCCCCGACTAGTAAAAGCTGTCTCCATCTCCAGGCTGCCGTCTGCACACTGATGACTGAGACTTGGGACCATGCTGGTCTCTTGGTGACATGCACCATGGTGCCTGGTGTCCCTGCCCTCACATGGTGACTGTGAGAGGGTAGAGACAGGGTGATCTTCATAAGACAGAATTTCAGAATAACTCTGTTGGCTGGTTCCATCAAAATCTAAATTTGCAATGAGAAAGATATTTCAAATGCATTATATTTTTATACTTTTTGGCCTGAAGAAATTGAGTAATTACAACCATAACAAGGCCACAGAAATAAAACTAATACCAATAACACCTACAAAGATGATACCATTCACCCGGTAGATGAACGTGGCCCATGAAATCAAAAGGACCACTAGCTCATTACATTAAGTAAGAGTAGGCTTAAGTTTTTATGCACCTGTGTATGTGTATATGCCTTTACGTGTGTGCATGTGGAGGCTGAAGGACAACCTTAGGTGCCATCCTAAGAAATGCAATCTGCCTCTTTTGTGACAGGGTCTCTAATGGCCTGGAGCTCATCTACACTGGCTGGCCACTGAGTCTCAGGAATCCTTCTGTCTTTGCCTTTCCAGTCCTAGAATTATAAGCTTGAACCACACATGTCAGTGCTGGGGATTGAACTTAGGTCTTTGTGCTTGCAAAGCAAATGCTTCACCAACTGAGCCATACCCCCAGGCCTGGTTTAATGCTTCTTAATGAGTATAAAGAATGGATATTAAGTTAAATGTTTAAAATAAATGCATGAGAGCTAATAATCTCAAGACTTCAGGGATGGCTCTAGAAAGGAAACAGTAATCTAACATGGAGCTCACATGGTCTCCTCATTCTATCCTCTGCCTTCTACATTCACTGTACTATACTCTTCTGAAAAGGCTTCAGTGGGAACTGTCTGTAATCCCAGGACACACGAGGCCAAGGCAGGGGGATCATGAGCTTGAGGCCAGCTGAGGGTATAGTGAAACTCTGCCTTAAAAAAAAAAAAAAAAAAAAAAAAAAAAAAAAAAAACAAAAAAAACCTGCTTGAGTGGTTTGTTCTCGCAGATAAAAGCTTCTGTATTTGTTTCACAGACATTCAGATGATCTATGTTTGAATCCCTTCTCTGCTTTGCAAACTTGAACAATCTATAAACACTTATTTCCTTACATAAAGAATATTTTAAAAATCAATCAGTGACTCATTACAAACATGAAACTGTGTCTATCAGACAGACCGCAGCAGGCTTTCCCCAAAAATATTAGCCTTGCTCACCTGCCTGGCCCGAACTTGCTTTTTCTAATCCATCAAATCCCAGTCTCCATGGCTCCCCAGCTCACCATCCACTTCTGGCCTCTTTGACTCTTTCTCTCCTCTGTTCCCCTTCCCATCTACTTAAAGCCCCAAGCAATCCTGGACTATCCCTGACTCCTTCAGTCCTCGTGTTTTTCTCTCCAACCTTAATGTTTTTCTTTCTAACTCTCTCCCTTTTGCTTCCTCTTCTCCTTTCCTTCCCTACAACCCTGCATATCCCATTCATCCCCCTCAATGTCAGTTGATAAAGAAAAACTGAGAGTTTCCTCCTAAGCAACAGCCTCAACCCTAACTTACCCCACACCCAAAGAACAGCCAAGATGTTTTATCCTTTTAACCTCTAGTGCCTTCCAATACCTCCCATTCTAAAATGAGAGAAGATTAGAGGTGTAGACAGCATGAGTGAGTGGGATAGCACCGTTCATCTCTTATGCATCCTGGCAGTTTCCTCATTAGTCTAGAAATCTCAGCTAAAGCATAAGCTCCCAGAAGGCATAAAGCCACACAGATCTACTATGTAGTCTATTTTTGCTGCTACATTTGCACCAAACCTTAAAATAACTTTTAAGTATAGGCAGGTAGCAAATACTTAATGCAGCCAAGTATGCAACAGTGCACAATATTGGTGACAGTGAACAAGATGAATACACAGCAAGAATTCAAACTTAAAAAAATATGTGTATGAGCCAGGCATGGTGGTGCACACCTTTAGTTCCGGCACTTGGGAGGCAAAGTAGGTGGCTCTCTGTGAGATCAAGGCCAGCCTAGCCTACATAGCGAGTTCCAGTTCAGTTGGGGCTACAGAGAGATCCTGTCTCAAGAAGACAAAAATAAAGTATGTATAGGTATCAATAATAAAGAAGAGGTCACAGAAACTGAGAGGGAGTAGGGAGCATGGGAAGAGTTGGAGGGGGGAGATGGAGGGATAGAAATGGTATAAATACAGTATTTATGTATAAAATTATAAACTAAAGATTATTTTTTAATATAGAATATGGGTCTAGGGAAATTTCTCAGTGGTTAGACTTGCCACACAAACATGAGGCCCAGAGTTTGACTCTCCAAAACCCGCATAAATGCTGAGTGGGTGTGGTGGTCCTCCTGCAATCCCAGTGCTCTGGGGGTAGAGACAGGGGATTCCCAGAGAGCTGGCCAGTTAGATCAGCTTTATTAGCAAGCTCTGAATTTGAGAGACCTGCTTCAGTAAATAAAGTGCAGGATAATCAAGAAACTCAACATCAGCCTCAGCCTCTACATGCACATGTACACACAGGCACACACTTGTATCCACATACATGTGAACAAGCACACACACAAGAAATATATAATATATATGTTTATGTATACTACCATCCATGCAGATCAGATAATATTTTTAGGCAGATGTGGTCCTTGGAACAAAACCCCCAACTCTGGATTTGGAATTTTGCAAAACCATATCTGGTCATTGAGAAATTCCTTCTCTGTTTTGTTATTCTTAAATACACAATTCAGGCCTCTTAGAAACGTTTCCATAGGACATCACAAAAAAATTTGCATTCATACTTTCAGTTGTTTGGCAAACACTTTTAGAAAGCCACAGAAAACAACAGAATAAGAGAAACTTATCATGTACAACCCTACAACAATAAAGCTGAATTTTCTTCCAAGTCTCTAATTAGCACATCCATTTCTCACATACATGAACAATAAGATGTCCTATTAAACAGTGGGCCATCCATCAACATGTGCAGCACCCAGCAGGATTTTAGCACAAAATCTAACTTTGCCAAGAAATTACCCCCATAAAAATTCTCATGACTTCAACTCCTATGGTGATAATACCTAGATCAGTAATAAGGGAATTTTCAATAGCTACATTAAGCTTTGAACCATTATTCATAACTGAAAAAAATAGAAGAACTATATTAATGTAGCAAAGCATTTTCCATGACAGACAAGCAAGGAGTGAATTAGAAGAGTGAGTCTGGGCTACAAGTCAGCTTACAATGAGAAGAAAAGGAAAAGGTGATTCACCTTTCTATAAAAGTCTTCTCACACCTTCAAATAAAAGAGGGCCATGTCAGCTTATCACCTACACAAAGTAATGGTCTATTGTCAGAAGTATGTATCTAGCTTCTTAGAAATTATATGTCATAATTATGTCACGTCAACTATATTTATGTGATTAGAGAAATTATTCAACTTGTTTAGTTTGTGATCCACTTTAATGGAAAACTCTATCATCCAACCACTTTCTTTCAAGCTCTGTCACTAGCCACTTGTAAAATTGCTGCTTACTACCTATGGTGGCCAATTTTGCACGTCATCTCGCTGGATCATAGGTGCCAATTATTCAAACACTAATAGCACTAATGTGAAGGTGTTCTGTAGGTGTGGATGAAGTCCATGATCAGTATTCTTCAAGTAAATGAGATTATCCTACATAATCAATTATTAGAAAGGCTATAAGAGAACTGAGGCTTCCTTGGAGAAGACGAAACAGCAGGTCCACCTCATACCTGGGAGCTTGCCGCCACTTCTGACAGCCTGCTCCAGGGATGTCAAAGCTGGGAATTTTGGTTGCCTAGCCAGCCCCCATAATTTCATGCTAATTCTTCACAATAAACCTCTTAAAATACACATACACATGTTGAATATATATTTTCCTGGTCCTATTTCTCTGGCTGAATGATAATTGATACATCATTCCAAACAAAACTGGCTACAGATACTGAGGATAATGAGTTGACTTTAATGATAACAGAAAGACAGTATCTATCTTTTATGAAACATCCTAGCAGGTATGCTCAACCTTTTCACATTGTGGCAAGATACTGTCATCTATAAGGTTCATGCTTAAGAACTGAGCAGTAGCATTACAAAAAAACCCTCTCCAAATCTTCTGACATTTTAAGTAGGTTCATGATTCTGTGTTGGGCCCCGTGTATCCCATGGGCTGTGCCTGGACATGCCAGTAAGGAACAGCTATTCTTAATAAGTAACAGTAAAGTTACTGCTCAAAACGAACAAAAAAAGCAGCCTTGGCAAGTCAACAGTTACTCTGTAGGCCGGCCTTAAACACCTAAAGACCTCACATTCATCCTGTGAGTCAGATCACAGAGCACAAGCTTTGCATCAGGAATGCAAGGGCAGCACTAGCCAAACAGCCACATTGTTGAACTGCTTTCTAAATACTCATGTTTATATCAATAGATTAGTGCTGTTCTCATTCTTGGTCAGAGAAGCTTCTTGTTGCAGTGGGCAGCAGGCAGTGCAGACTGGTATCTGTTCAAGGTGCTGAGAATAAGGGACTGAGAATGCTCAGGCCTCCACGGGACATCTCCATCAACCCCACCTCTACCACCAAGTCTCAGGGAACGTCACAGAAAAGGGGGCAGAAGGAACATCAGAGCTGGAAGATGAGAAGGCATACAATAAAATGCTGTCTTCTGGACATGACATGGCCATTGTACCCGTGAACTCATAGCAGCTGTGGTTACCTACACAAGATCAAGCCAATCAACATACCAGCATGGATTGGGGAAGGGCTCATGGGGCCCTAACCTTAGCTGAGGAACTATTGGCAATTGATGGCTCCTGGGGGAGAGGGAATCATTGCTCTTTGAGTGTGTGGCACTGATAGGTCACCCGTGGTTTGGTGAATGGTGTTACAAAATGCCTCTGCATGTAGCATTAATTGGACTCAGGGGTTATAAAATTTTTTTTTAAAAAGAAGACATGAGGCTGGGAGTGGAGGTGTTGGGATGGGTCTTGGGGATGCGGTGCAAGGGAGTGGTAGGGGTGGGTATGAAGAAAATACATTGTATACATGTATGAAATTTGCAAAGAATAAATTTTAATGTTATATGATAAAAATTATACATCAGCAACAATTTGAAGTAATGCTAAATCAGATGCCCAGTACAAAAAAGTCTATGTCTGGGATACAGTGCTGATGATGTCACACAGAATCTTCCATGACCTCACCTAAGGGAAGCATGGAATAATCTACCTACAGCTCATTCGTAAGTGAAATTTCACTTGGATTTTAAGCATTTAATTCAAAAGTCCAATACTTTTTAACACATTTTTAAACAGAAAGGATTGTCTGAAATTAAATTTGATCTAAGTAAAATGAAATAGATAATAAAGAACCCACAAAAATAAGGGAAATTTTCTCTGTAATATATGCTTCAATTGTTCATTATTATCTATCACTAAATATACCCACTAATATGATGAATAAAAATAAATTATAGAAAAAATAATAAGTGCATCACTATTTCATAGCATTTCGTGACCTCAAATTTGGCATTCAGCTAGCTGTGCCTATAAAATCTTTTATTTTCTTCCAAATTAAAAGGTAGTTAATCCAAAATGGTGGACTTTTTTCCTCTGTCCAACAGAGAGAAAAATTTACCTTTTCTATCACTTCCTGTCAAAAATTCAGAATTACTAGTTATGACAAGGATAAGTTATCATGGATTCCAGGAAGCTGGGGTGAGGTGGCTGTCACCACTCTCAGAACCTGGCCATTTGTGTAAATCAGAACCCAGATGCCCAGGCTTCTGGGAAATGGAGCCATTAGCTTTAGAATTAAACAAGTGGCTCCCAGGGCATCAGCTGCTATTAACTTTCATTAGCTAGCATCTGCCCTTGTAGTGGAGAAAAAGGAATGAGGTGATGAAGTACCAGGGAAGGAGGAGAGTGGGAGGGAGGAAGTGGCAGAGGGTCCGCAATCACTGATGCTGTGGATTGTTTAGACCAGGTAGATGGATGCTTGTTAGCTTATCCTGGGCTCAAGAGAACAGCAATAAAATAGGTTGTGTGGTGCTGTGTCATTTAGTCTAACTACATGAAGAATAGCATGCTTTTTCTGCCCCCCAAACAGGGCTCTGGTTGTGTCTTTGTTCTTTTTTATTTGTCCTGTTTTCATTGTCAAATTAAGAGTTCTTTTTAATATTCCCTCAGTTCCTGTGCTCTCCTCTTCCTGTCTTGTTGGCAACACAGAAAGTGTATGTTGGTGTCCTGGATGTTGTGGCTGTCCACACGCCCAAAGAGAAAGAGGAAAGAGACTGGAGAGTTGAACTCACTGAAAGCTGACATTAAACTGGTTGGGGACACATTTTCTCTATGTTTACTAATCACATTTCCCAGACATGTCTATGACCCAGCATCTCTCTATCCGGGCTCTGAGCCTAAAGATGCTATGGAAGGCACTAAGGAATACTGTACTATTCTATTTGTATCCTCTTCCCAGGTCTTATGTTTTATTTTCCTGTCTGGACTCTTAGATACAGAGGTTATCTAAGTGATTCACAAATGTCCCTAACATTGGCTACAGTGTGCCTAGATAAGGGGGAAATGTGATACAATGTATACCTTCACAGGCGGACAGTTCAGTGCTATCTTCTTGGTGGGTGGAGAGCAAACGGCTGCACGTTGGTTTCTGCTCCAACTCTGTTGGTTTTTCCTTCTCACACGTTCCTGCACGAAAACTCTGGGATCGGGATACAGAGATCTCAAATCGTTTGATCACATCCTCGTCACTCTCAGATGTGGATGGTTCTTCATCATCCCCAAAGCTGTTAACTGGGAGCAAACAAGCAATGAATCCCCTGTGTGGTTCTGTGATACAACACAGAGACAGACAATCCAGGGAAAGAAGAAAAGAGCATGAATGATTAGCCTGAATCCAGCAAGCTCAAACTGAATAGAAAGGGTTTAAACACTCTTGAAACAGAAACCTGGGCCAAAGGCATAGCTCACAGAGTAATTAGAGATAGATGGCTAGCACCCAAGAGAAAACACTGGGACACCCATCATCAACATAACAGCCATCCTAAGCCCTTGTTTTCTGGCCTGCTGACTGGTGCTAGTGTTTATAACCATAGCTGGAGGAAGCAGGATTATTACTGGCATATTTGCCTGCTATGCAGTCCTGTGGGAAAGATGTTCTTTGTCTTGTATTTATTATAACACACAGAGACAAGCCCTACTTCAGAAGAGAAATATTCACAAGTTAGAACAATCATTGTGTAAATGTATTTTAATTTGTATCACAAATATTGGGTTTGTTTTTTTGTTTTTTGGTCTTTTTGAGACACGGTCTCTCTGTAGCCATAGCTGGCTTGGAACTTGATTGATAGACCAGGCTGGCCTCAATCTCAAAGAGATCTGCCTCCCTTTGCCTCCCAAGTGCTAGGGAAGCCTACGCTACCACACCCAGCTTGTATCAAATGTTATAAATATTTCTCAGCATCAACAACATCATTGTTTCTTTGCATCAACAATATAAATATTCTTGGATTTATTGTTTTTTAAATGTATTTTATTGGGGGTGAGGAGATAGCTAAATGGTTAAAGTGCTTGAATTTGGATCCCTAGCACCAATGTAAAAATCCAAGTGTGTCAATGTGCACCTATAACCCCAGGACTGGGGACAGTGGACACAAGAGGATCCCTAACACCCACTGGTCAACCACTCTACCTCTATCCGTGAGCTCCAGGTTTAATGACAGACTCTGTCAAAAAAATAAAAGAGAGTAATTGAGGAAGACACCTGATATTGACCTCTGGCTCCAAGTGTATACACACACACACACACACACACACACACACACACACAAGCAATTGCATCTGCACACAAATATGCACACACAGATGCATACCACGCATACAAATAAATCAACATATTCATACATGTATGTATACATATATATCACTGTATATATTTGAATTTTATATGATGTCATGGAGAAGAAAAAGACAGAGAAAGTGAAAGAGAGGAAGTAAAATGGCTACTGTAGTGAGGCAAATTGACTTGTCTATTCTCTAAGTTTCTAGTCTGTGACAATAGGAACTGCAATTTATTTGTTTTTAAAGTCTCTAATATTGGGACTTGAGAGATGGCTCAGTGGCTAGGAGCAATGGCTGTTCTTGTGAAAGACCTGGGCTCTAATCTCAGCACCCACATGGCAGCTAACAACCATCCATAACTCCAGTTCCAGATCTGGTGCCCTCTTCTGACCTCTGTAGGCATTGCATGACATGGGTGCACTTACATACATGTAGGCATAACACTGATACACATATAAATAAATAAGCAATTTTTAAAATCTCTAATACAATACAAGATATTAACTAGAACTTCATGTTTTCCTTTGCTCTCTAAACTTGTTTAACCCTAAAAGCTGCTACTCTGAATCCTTTGAGCTCTATTTCCTCCATCCCTTCCTCTTCCAACTCTCCAAAGCCTGTTTATCCCTCTGTTTCTGTAAATTTGACCCCTCCTCCCTTTTGATTCTCTAAGTGAGACTATGCAGTCAACAGTTTCTATGTCTGACATATTTCACTTGGCATGGAGTCCTCCAGGCTCATCCATGTTGTATCAAATGGGAGGATCTCCAATTTAAGGCTGAATAATGTACCATTATACCACACATGGGTACATACATGCATATATATTATTTAACTATTTCTCATCGAGAAACACTTAGGTTGTTTCCATACCTTGGCTACTGTGGGTTACATTGCAACAAACATGGGAGTACAGATATCTTTATAGGAGATGGTGATTTTAGCTGGGGTGGTGGCGTACACCTTTAGTTTCCAGCAGTTGAGAGGCAGAGACAGGCAAATCTCTGTGAGATCAAGGCCAGCCTGATCTACATAGAGCGTTCCCAGCCAGTTGTGGTTACAAGGAGACCCTGTCTCAGAAAAAAAAGAGAGGGAGATGTTGATTTTTTTTCTTCTTGTGGGTATATTCTCAGAAGAGGAACTGCGAAGTAGTATGGCAGTTTCACTTTAAATCTCCTTATGATCCTCCATTCTGTTTTCCTCAGTGGCTTCACCAACGTACCTTTCTAACTGCAAACTAGGGTTCTCTTTTTCTTGTTCTTTGGTCTTTTTGATCACTGTCAGATTAATAAAACACCCTTTAAGTTACTGGTGCACTTTCCCCACAAGCACACTGGCACTCTTTTGGTTTCTCTAAAACACCAAGATTGTTCACCTTTTTAAGTTCTCTGCCTTTGAAGTTCCTTCTGCCTCCCCAAGACATTCACAGGGCTGGCTCCTTCCTATTCAGGCCTCAGATTGACTGTCCACTGCATTCTCAAAGCTCCCCTGATCATCTTCCTTTGAGTAGCCCTCACCTCCATCCCTCTGTTCTCTCCTAGAACATCTATAAAAATAAAGCTATAGCCTGTCCAGTTAACTGATGTCTTCCTGTTATGTAAAACAATGCCTGATGCACAGGAAGTACAAATACTTGTTAAATGTCAAACAAATGGGTACATACCCAGTGTTATCCCAAGACTGAGAACCCACATGCTTAGATCCACATACATATTCGTGTGCTATTCTCTATATCTGGGACACTTTTTTCCAGCCTCCATCTAGACTAGTCAAGAACTTAACTCATTACTGGTATCTCAGTCTAGGTATCACTTTTCAAAATGTCCTGCCCTTGCTCCTTAAATCACACTAAGGGCTCCTTCCACGTACTATAAAATCATTCTCCTTTTTCCCTTGTCAAAGTTCACTTCTACAGTGCTCACTCGTGTTAGTTGCTGCTGTGGCTAAGTCCTTCTAACCTCCATGACCCTGTCTCCTTGATCTGGGGTCATTTCTAATGTCTGCATCATTTCTCCAGTCTTTGCCAGCATCCAGCTTCACTGACTGATAGGCATCAATATTCAATGTTTCTCACTGCTTCCTCACTGATCTTCTCAATGGAGCATCTGATCCACAACCATAAGAGCATAGATTTCAATGTGACTATGTACAGTACCATAGTAGGACCTGAAAAAGTGTCCAAAGAGACTAGATATTTTATTAATACTTAAATAAGCTGTATAGACAGCTTCCCACCAGAAAAACAACAATGAACAATTTCCTCATGCTGGCATGTGTTAGGCATAGTACTCTGGTAAAAGATGCACCATCTCATATGAGAGAGAACCAAAATCCAACAGGAATACAATTAAGCCCCTTTTCCCCAGAGTACAGAACCAGCTAAGCACCTTGGAGGTAGCCAAGGGGACAAAAAGGAGAGCTGGTGGATTAAACATCCATTAGAGCTCTTCCCAACTCTGAGATTCCATTCTCTGTATACTTAGGCCAATTTTAAAGTTTCAAATAGCCATTTGCCATTAATTTCAAATAGGTGAGCTAATGTATGAATTCTCCTTATGTACAAAATTATCCATTAGGATTAATGTATACATACCTACCCATTCTTTGATTTTTTTCCAGTGAGTCAATGATCACCCACAGAGCAAAGACTCTCCTTGCCTGATACAATAATTGTATAGTAACTATAACATCTGCCACATATTCAACAGATATACCATGTGTTTTCTTGGAACTTTGCATATTCACTTTAATCATCACCATGGTACAGAGGAGGAAACAGTGATGCTGGACAGTTAGGTAAGTTTCATAAGGAAACAAAGTTAGGAGAGAAAAAAGGCTGGGACTTGAACACTGCATCTATGTTCCTAACCATTTTACATTTGATCAGGTAGCATTGTATCAGGAAATTGGAGCCATGCCTAGATTGCTCTTCAGGGTAAGGAGAGAAGAAGCTTTGTCACTGACCCTGAAATCTGCCAGGAGGCTGTTTCCTTTGTGGTAGACAAAAAAGAACAGTGGGAAGAGCAGCTGGTACTGGGTATGGGCGGGCTGCAGGATAACTGGCCTGCCACTTGGCATGGGATTTAAATACAACTTCATATGCTATTCTAAGCACTTCCCAAGGATCTCAGAGAATTCTAGTCCAAAAAGGAAATTTGTGAACTCTCCCAAAAGCCACCAAGAAGCTACAGTGGCACTATTACAATAACAGCAGCAACCCCTTAGACAGTGTATATCCTGGTGTTGTTCTAGACATATGCTTAAGTATTTACTCTACAGAACAACCCAATGAAGTCTTTATTATTAGTATGCCCATTTTCGGTAGGTAAGGAACTAAGGCTCAGTGTCAGTCATTAACAGTTTTAAGTAGTGAATCAAGATTCAAGCCAACTAGCGGTGTGGTAGCATATGCCTGTAACTCCCAGCACTCAGGAGGAAGGGGCAGGTAAATCTCTATGAAATCAAGTCCAGGCTTGTCTACATAGTAAGTTCCATGCCAGCTGGGGCTATAGGGAGACCCCGTCTCAAAAAAAAAGAAGAAGAAGAAGATTCAAGCCAGGGCTGTCTTGTTCCAAAGTTAATGCTTCCCCAAGTATGGTGGAGGGAAACCTCCTGGACAAAACTGATAGAACTGTGTTTTACCACTAAGAAAATAAAATCATGTTGGTTGGGCTAGAAATGATTCTTAAGAACATTTATTCATTCCCTGTTCCCTAATTTTTACAGAGAAACCCAAAGAGGGAAAGTGATTTGCCTGAAGTCATTCCAAGCTAGGACCAATCCACATTCTCCAGTGTTCATGATCAGTGAATGATGTGGCTACACAGTTTTCTAGTCTCTCTTCCTAATGTTTTTATTTCCTCAAATTCAAATTTTTCTTCTTATCTACTTGAAAAATCCAATTACCTGCCTTGCAATGTTAACAGCTAAACAGCTGATCTGGGCTTCATTCAACTTAATCTCTGAAAATTCACAGTCTCGTATAAATT